GAAGTGTCAGAGCATTAAATGGGATTTAATCCGTCGCAAGGAATTTAAAACAGCGATCACCAACTTTGAATAAAGGCGCCGCCCGTAAAGTTCGGATTAGGCGTCGTCTGAAAAACTAATAAATGGAGCGTCGAAACGTTTCCCGGGTAAGGAATTTCACCGCGATGACAATTCAGCCCCTGCGCTGGTGGGATCGGCGAAATTTAGCAGCTTTTGCTCAGGCTGGCATCACGGACGCTTTTTGCAAGCAGGGCAGGCGGGGGGCACTGCACGTGTTGGACCTTTCTGACGGGCGGTGCCAACGTGGCGGCGGAGACGGAAGAGAGACACTTCGGAGGAGAAACGAGGCGTTCCTGGGAAGGGGCCTCGGCTCGCTGTGCGGAGCTGACGCCGCAACCCCTCCTAGAAAGAGGCGCTCCGTTTAGTCCAGAGCAAAGACTGGGCGGTCTTCCGACACGGCTCCGGCGAATCTCGCCTGGAGACTTTGGGCAGGAAATCCCGCTAGAAGTCGCGGGCTTTGACTTGGAAGGAAAAGGACCGGGAGCCACCTTGAGGGCCCTGAACAGCGAGCCAGACTGTCAGAGGTCGCGCTGCTGTTTGTTTCCAAATCAAGCGAGCTCTAGGCCCGGCCGAAAAGTCATCCAGTTTGCGCTGTCGGGTCATTCACGGCTTCTCTCCTCTTTTTTCCTTTTACGTCTCCTGAGCTGCTGGTTAACAGGGCCATGCAGAGCTTTGAAGTGCTTTGAACTTCCAGCAAGGACCGTCCCTCTAGACTTTTCCCTAAGCTCCTATTTCTCAATCTCAGCAGCTTTAAGATGTGTGGACTTCAACTCCCAGAATTCCCCAGCCAGCCATGCTGGCTGGAGAATTCTGGAAGTTGAAGTCCACACATCTTAAAGTTGCCAAGGTTGAGAAACACTTTTGAAGTGCTTTGAACTTCCAGCAAGGACCGTCCCTCTAGACTTTTCCCTAAGCTCCTATTTCTCAATCTCAGCAGCTTTAAGATGTGTGGACTTCAACTCCCAGAATTCCCCAGCCAGCCATGCTGGCTGGAGAATTCTGGAAGTTGAAGTCCACACATCTTAAAGTTGCCAAGGTTGAGAAACACTGCTTTAGACTATTTCCACATGAGTGCCTTATAGTATCACCCAGACGTTGATGTGGTGATATGAAGCCTGTCTTCCTTACTGCTAGTAACATGTTCTGTAATATGGCTGGCTGGGGAATTCTGGGAGCTGAAGTCCACACAAAGTTGCTGAGATTGAGAAACGCTGCTCTCAGCAATCCCTTTTTTCAGCTTTCCATCATGTTAGCTTGAAATAAAAGTAGGGCTGCTTTAATAATTGCACTGACTGTAATGAACCAACTCCTTAAAGCAACCACACAGCTTTCATCCTAATGAAGATCCATTACCTGTAGCCTAGCCAAGTCCATTTGGGAAGGGGGAGATAAAGTCTTCCTTCTTTTCACTGAATCCTAACTTAATGCATTTTTTCCCCAACTGTTTTTGTGCTTCTTGTGTTGAACGGCCAATAAATGGATCCCATGGAGAAGCCTCCACATATGCATTAGAAAGACAGGATATAAAATGTTTCATAAAATTAAAACAAAGCATTTGCCTGAGTAATGTTACCATCCTGAATGAAAAGTATGAAATCATCTGTTTATGTTCCTGAACTGTCTTTATATTGGATAATTATCCTCAATGCTCCCCTACTTGAAAGGTCCCTAAATGTCTCACTAATTTGCCCCAAAAATTGATTGCTAAAAGCTCCAATATCTGGAGGCTGAGATTTGTTCCAAGTACCCAGCACAACAAATATTATAGAGGAAACCACAGTTCTAGATCTGTTAATTCAGTAGAAAACAAAACAAATCAATCAATCATGTCAAGTCTGGTGTGAATATTTTTGTTTAGTATGCACTTGTATTTCAGCACAGTATTAGATCTATTTTTTTCCCACTCCAACAACTGTGTGAGGTAGGTTGGGCTGAGAGAGAGAGTCTGGCTCCAAATCCCCAGTGATGTTTTCTGGCCAAGAGTGGACTAGAATGTGGGGTTTCTTGTTTCTAGTTCCAGAAACAAGCCACTATATCACACTAGTAGGTCTATATGGTATGGCCCATGAAATTCAATATGTCTTCAGCTAAGTGGGCCATCTAATACATGTTTATATAGCCTCTGGACACACTTGCACTTTACTCTCTGCAGAGGTACTTGGAAGAAAACCCCGGTGGGCTTCCAAGCTCTACTCTCCAGCTGCAATTCTGCACGTTTGTTGACTTGGAGAGGGCCAAGAGGTCAATTCTAAGCAAGCAGTCCATTTAAAGAACACGTTCTGGGTTCTTTGG